TCCAGGGAAATGTCCAAGCGTCTCCTGTGCGTGACATCCGTCTGGAAGGTGAAAACCTTGCAATGGCAGCTCGGCACTTCGAGCAAGAAGCGCAAGCTTGGAGAAGGCTTGTGGACGGAGGAGCCTGAGGACGAGCAGCCTGGGCATCAGGACTGGGAGACGTACCTGGACAGGCTGTTCACGTTGCTGCTGGCCTACGCCCTGGGCGGGGTCAAGGCGCTGGATAATGCGCCTTCGGCCAAGGAGGAAGATGTGCTCGGGGCGGACACCACGAGGTTCGTCTTCGTGCCTTTGGATGTGGTCATGCGCTACCACGCGAGAGCCCGGCGCACTTCGGCCAGACTGCCCCATGCCAGCCGACTTGCATGGCTCCTGCAGAGGGACACCGAGGAGAGGGCAGACTGGGTGAGCCGTTTCAGGGAGTCCACCCTGACGCTGGGCCAGGTCATCAAGGCCACGTACGAAGCGCGTGACGCCCACTGGGTCCCGGCCGGCAATTTCTCGGCGCCCACCAAGGAGCGCCAGCAGGCGTCTCCGGCCAAGCCGGCAGCACGGGGGGGTAAACCCCCGCTGGCAAAGCCGATCGCGGGTCGAGCGGTCGCCCGCGCCATGAGAGATGGATCCGCGCTATGCCAGGCTTTCCAGCATGGGCAATGCAAGGCGGGGCCGTCGTGCCCCAACGGCCAGCACAGGTGCGCTGCGATCCTCAGGGGAGACCGAGTCTGCGGGATGCAGAACCACGGAGCCAAGGAGTGTCGGGCGGCGAAGAAGTCTTGAGGGTGCCCTGGGGGGGAGGGGGACTCCCCCATAGGGTCAGAACTCTCGCACCCCCACACCGGATCCCAGGAAGACGGCCCGTTGATGGTCGACCTCATGTGCGGTCCCAACATGCCCCTGGCGAAAGCCTTTCTCTTTTGCGGCTGGAGGGTGCTGCCCATCGACTGGTCTCTGGACCCGGGGCACGACCTGTCCAACCCGTTGAGGCAGCAAGCACTGGAGGCAGGCCCCAAGCCGCTGAGGTCTGAGGCACACCCCGAAGGCCTGCCCGGGCTTGACCCCAAGAACCAACGCCGGGTGGACGTGGACAATGCAGCATGTGCCTGGATCCTGGGGCAGCTCCAGGCCATTGCGGATGATGGCAGAGGGGCACTGCGGGAGAACCCGGCTCGAAGCCTCCATTGGTCCCTCCCTCAGGAGGAGACCATGATGGAGTCCGGCCTCTGGTACGACACAACGTACTCGGCATGTGTTTTCATGTCGGCGCGTTGCAAACACCAGCGGCTGCGGCACAACATCCGTGAGATCGAGCTGATCCACCCTCGCGAATGCCACCATCAGCACGCAGCGTGGGAGTGGGATCCCTGGGAGGACACCCAGGGACGGCACCAGTTTCCGTCCAAGGAAGAAGCAGAGTACTCAGCCACCCTGGCCTTCGCGATTGCCGTATCGGTCAGTTGGTGGGCGGTCCGCGAAGGGCATGCCCGACTCCACGTGCCACGGATGCCGCCGCTGGAGGCGTGTGGCCGGAGGCAACATTGGCTGGATATCGATCCCCGAGCTATGCGCAGCTGGGCAATGACCCCGCTGGCCATCACACTCGGACTACCACCATTGCATCCCGAGGAGCGAGCGAGGCTGCCCAAGGTGGTGCGGGTAGCCGACGTGCTGGCAGATGGCAAGCTTCCGCCGGACGTGGTTTACGTGGGGCAGGGCCACCACTCCCACCGGATCCCACGGTCCCAGTGGGCATCACCGTTCGTGCAGGGGCACACCTGTACGACGGACGACTGGCTGCCACTCTACGTGGACTTCGTCCTCGCTAGTTTGCAGGCAGAGCTCCCTGCGCTGCAGGGCAAACGGCTGGCATGTGACTGCGGCCCAGACGGCGTCTGCGAGGCGGATGCGCTGGCTGGGATGGTCTTCGATGCGACCCACCCGGATGCCGAAGCCAGCCTGCCCAGAGTCACTGGACGGCGGCATAGGCAGGCAAGGGGCTCCGTGCTTAGCAGCAGCCATCATGGGATCGCTTCGTGGCGGAGACGCATTGCAGTCCATGCCCCTTTGGTTTCCTCAGGAGGACGTGATTTTGGCCTTTCGCAAGCTCTATCCGGCCGAGTGGTTCCAATCCTTTCAATGGCCCATGTTGGAGGACCTGCTGAACCAGGCCCCCTTCACCTGCTACCTGGACTGGCGCCAGAGCCGCGGGATGGAGTGGGACGGGCCCTTGGGGCCACCCTCCTCGTCCAACACCAGCCGGAGGCGCCAACGGCTGGCGGAGGGCAAGCAGCATGGAGCCTACAACCACAAGGCCTCCATCCCGCCTCTGGTGGGATATGGGCTGGATGCCGACACCCACTTTGCCGCATCTCTGCAGTGGACCACCGCAGCAACCCCGTTGGAGGTTCTGCCTACGTTGGACGACGACCTGTGGTATGCGGCCAGCATGGTGACGGGCAGCGACAACCTGAAGGAGCGCCGTCGGGCGTCCATCGGGGCCATCAAGGAGCTGAAGCGCAGGTGGGCGCCGGTGTCCAAGCACCTCGTGGCTTTCCAGTCCGAGGCCATCCGAGGGGTTACCTCGAAGCGCGATCTCGGGTTGTTGGGACTTTTCGTCGTTATCATGCAGTGGGGCGACTTCGCCCTCCCTCACGGATTCATCAAGGGCCTACCAGCAGTGGGCTATGCCCCTCATTACGGTGTTTTCCCCTACCAGCCCGTCGAGGCGATCGCCCACTCGGAGGTATTGGCTGGCTGGGAGGAGCACAATGCCGCCACTACTGCGGGAGTGAGGCCAGGTTCGACGGACTCCTTCGTCCTCGAGCAATCCACGAAGGATCACAGGGAGGGGTTTTGCACCCCTCCTATGACCCTGAGCCAGCTCAAGCGGTACGCCAAAGGAGACCCCTACCGGCTCATACCTCGGTGTGTCATCACACAGGCGTCCGGTAAGCAACGTCTGATAGACGACGCAGCACGGGGCGGGCAATCCGCGTCATCAAGAGATTCCAACAAACTTGTTTTGTGCACGCCTCTCCGCCCAGCGCTCCACGTCCAAGCCGCCGCAGCCTGCCTCCAGGAGTGCACCTGGGAGCGGTTCGCGCAGCAGGGGCAGTGGACTGGGGCAGGAGATGATTGGCCGAATGCCTACCGCCACTGTCCCATGTCACGGCAGGAGGCCCTGGCTTGCGTGGTGGTCTGGTACCACCAGGAATGGCAGGGGCCTGCTTACCAGGTGTACCACGCCCTCCTGTTCGGCCTTCCTTTGGCGGTCACCTCCTTCAACCGCTACTCCCGGATGGCGGAGGCGCTGGGCCGGCGTTTTCTGGCAATTATGGTGTCCATGTATTTCGATGACAGTCATATTACCGACCGAGCAGTCCACGGCCCATCCGCCCAGTGGAGCTTTGGCGTCCTCAATGACCTGCTGGGCCACAGCATGAGGAAATTCATGCTGTGGATACCAACGCAAATCCCACAGGCAAAGGTGGGTTATCAGATCCGTATAGCATCGCTGGAGTGAAAATGCTGCGGTGCTGTTTATATCAAACCTCCTTGGGAATGTAAATGACTTGGAATTATGTATTTGCCTTTAGGTGTTGAGTGGTTGTGACCTTTAGTGACCTGTCATTTCTCCTTGGTTTTCAGCTGTCCTTTCAATCAAGGTGTCCCCCGTAAAATCAGCCAAATAGAGATCAACGCCTGCTTTCATTTTGCCACTGTGGCCCTGGTGTCACGTCCAAGTTGCCCGAAGGCCCACAAGGCAAGGCCCGCGTTCCGGGTTTCGTCAGGATATGCATCTTTTGCCAGATTCTTGAAAAGATGCCCCGTCTCCGCTATTGCGCGGGGAAGGGGGTTACCTTGGTACAGAGGTTGGCTTTAAAACCGGGTCGTTGTCCACCACGTCTCATGGCCCACTGGTTTTACTCGGTCAACATTGGGCGCTCCAGGTAGTCTCCTTTCGGGGAGCCATGGGAAGCTGGCCCCCGAATGTGTCCAGCTGGCCAACGATGAGTAGCAACCATACCCAAAGAGTAGGTAATTACAGCTAGCACACAGACACAGTGCAAGCCGTGTTTCCTTCGAAGGCCTTATCCTCCAACTCGAGTTGGTGAATGTATGGCAGTTACGTCAGTTTGGGACTCGACACAACTTAAGGGGTGCGTAAGGCATTGAAGGATGGCGCTGAAAAGAGGAAATTGCACTAGGCTACAACCCTGGTTTTACTTGGGACAGCCGGGGGGTGGTGGACATAGGGGTTCCACCAACATGATGGTATATTTGGGAGCAACACTATTTAATGTGTTTTTCTCCCACTGGATTTGCTTTTTTGTTTTGCGAGTTTTCTGGAAAGCAAGCAAGCCAAACCCTCCCTAAACCTGCCCTACACCCACCCTAAACCAGCACCTGCTCTAAACTTAAAACCACCCGAAACCCACCCCAAAGCCACCTTAATCCTGAAGTGAACAAACCCCACTCTAAATCCACCCTAAACCAAGCCGAAACCAATCCCAAACCACTTTAAGCCCACTGTAAACACCCTGAACCCCCCTCAACCCACCCTCAACCCACCCTAAACCCACCCTAAACCCACCCTAAACCCACCCCAAACCACCCTAAGCCCACCCTGCAAACAACCCTAAATGCACCTTAAACCAACCCTAAATGCACCCTACACCCACCTTAAACTCATCCTAATCCCACTCAACTGCACCCTAAAATTTCTATCACCCCCCCCCCCCACTCCAAACCAACACCTACCCTGAACCCACCCCAAACCAACCTTGAACCAACCCTATAACCCCCCATGAAATTAAACACCCACCTAAACTCACCTGAAACCCACTCTGAAATTGACAAGAGAAGTACATCCCGTGGCAAGCGTCTGAGCAAACTCCCCAAAACAGGGCGGGGGGCCTTTATAATTTAGGGTAGGCTAAATATCAATCAAGCGAAGTTCAGTTTTTCTGATTCCAGATGTGGGAAAATCGTTAGCTGCTGAGGCTTGCAGGTGCTGCACTTCATGGGGGGCTCGAAGCACTTGGCCCCTGAGGCGCTGTGTGCCACTTGGTGAGCTCTTTTGGGAAGTGGGACGCTTTCATGCTGCGCCCTAAGGGTCATGGGAACCCAGCTTGGGTTTGGAGCCCGGAGTGCTTTGCAGGGTCCACTTGAGGGAATCAAAACACCTGATCTATGGCCGGATTAGTCCCGGGGTCCACACCTGGCAGGTCTGAAAGGCAATCAAAGGGCAGCCATTTTTTGTGGAGGGTTGCCAAGCGACCCGTGAGCCAACAAAAGAGATCACCCCAAGACTCACAGAAAATCACCCAGACATGGTACAGAGACCGTGATGGGCAAGTGGGCGAGGTGCCTGCGTGGGATCCTGGCTAAGTTGGCACTGGAAGAGGGCCGCAAGCGTCAAGGATGCTAGCTAGAAGCTGACCACTTCGTATTGAGTACTTGGTACTACTTGCCTGGTTCTGAATCCTAATCATTGTGGCCACCTCACTGGCACATGTGCCAAACTCTTGTTTTTTCCAGTTGTCCGATTCAGAGCAGTCAGTTCTCCTATGTCAACTTTGCTCCTGAACCGGGCCGAATTCTTGTGTGAACTCATGGCGACCTTCTGGCCACAGGATTGCGAATGGGCCCCCTCTGTCAGCCCAGGAAGGTGGCAAAGACTACACCGGAGACGGCCCGAAGGGCTACGGCTGCCATAAGTGACACGTGCCACGGTCAAAGATGGTCGAAGAACCGTGGAGTGTGAAAAAGTGGAGTGCAAAAGGGGGTCTTCACCGCGATTCGTCATTTTATTGGTCTTTCCCATCCCCGCACCTCAACAGCCACCCCCCACCAAACAAGGCCTTAGCCAACGAGGTCAGGCAGGCTGGGGTTGCCTATCACGCGTGCCAAGCACCAGCCCCGATTCTTTTTTCGCAGGGCCGACGCGATCCAGAGGAGACGAAGACCATGTTGACCTGTCCTCAGCGCAAATTCGCTGCATTCACCAGAATTGAGAAAATGCATACTTGCTCAAGCCATGCACGGCGCAAGTGCAGCACACTTTCGCCACGGAGGTTGGCGCGCATGCACGAGCGAGAGAGGCAGGGGGAATGTCGGCTTTTCCATGCTTCTGGAATGCTGGGTGGTAATATGCGACAGCCAAGACTGGTAGGTTGTTTATGTCTAAGTGGCTCTGCTTACGTTTGGCCAAGACTTATAGACTTGTTTTCTCCTCTGTTTTGTTTTCTTTACGCTGAGGCTTCCCCTTCCGCCTTGCGCAGTTTGTAGAATCCGAAGTCACCTGTTCGATTCTAAACACGAGAACGCGTCTCTCGCGTCGACTCGCCTGCGCTGGGCCAGGACTGCTCGAGAGCAGAAGGCGGCCATGTTGGAGCGGGTGCAGCAGAGCCCCCGGAAGCGCGGGACCACAGAAAGTGCGAGGACAAGGCTGCATTCTCCGCTGACAATGGCCGACCCACCAAAGCAGGTTCCCATTTTCTACTCTGGTTAGTGGGCAAGTTGATCCTTGACCTGTAAGTACACCTGCTCACTCACAAGTTTCGCCGTTTTCATCGGGGCCCTGCGTCCTTCCTCCGAGTACGGCTTGGGAGCAGAGCGCGCCCGAACAGACCGGGCAAATCACGCAAGCCCAAACCAGCACCCTCCGACAGTCCTCCGACTACTGTTTTCATTTGTCTTGCGTATCTACCGTCTATTTAGCAGTAGTTCCGAAAATAAAATAAAAGACAGTGGATCGACGATCTACGGTTGCTTTACCAAACAGTGCAAAACAAGCTTATATTCAAGCCCACGGGGTGACACGCAAGTAACACGCAGTGACATGCAGGTGACACCGCGTGACACGCTAAAACTGCTGTTGTTCGCAGCGATCTACTGTACTTCTAGCATACTGACACGGGGGCGACACAGGGGTGACACGCAGGTGACGCAGGGGCGACACGGGGTGACACCCAGGTGACACGGGGTGAAAGGGGTGACACGCAGGTGACACGGGGTGACACAAGTGACAAGCGGTGACACGCGGGTGACGCTGTGAGGCGCTTGCTGCATTTGCTGCCATCCCTAGCAGTAGGGAGGGTGCTGGAAATGGTGGGTTTTCTTTGGCTTTTGCTTGAAATCAACTCGGAAGCACCAACTCAGGGGAACCACACCCTGGATTGTCCAAAAACAATCCGCGTTCCACTACGCATTCCGGAAGAGAATTGGGGATCAGCCTCGCTCGTGGCTGGAGCCTGGACACCTTCATATAGCGCAAAAAGGATGTGTGTGTGGCTGAGATGAAATGGGAAATCCTAGGATTGCTCCAAGTCAGCCCTGTTGAGCTCAAGGTCACCGTTTCGGCTCACAAGAGCTGGCCTGCTGACAGATCGCCTTGGCGAATCGATTCGCGCCTAAGGACCTTCTGGAGCCCGGCAGAGCGGGACGAGCTGGAGGCTGGCCTCTCAGATCGGTTCGGTTTTGGTTTTCTTGGCTGCTCCCAACCATATCCTTGGACCTTAAGAGTTTAAAAAGGATTCATGACGTATCCCACCAAAGGCTTAGCTTTTGCATGGGTGTGGACTGTTTCGGCTTCTTTTACACGAAAACGCCACACCGGCGGAGAGCCAACCGCATGACTGGCCAGAAACCAAACAGGGAAGGGTTTAGCAAGGGATCAACAAAACACGATCGAGTGCACCGTTGGGGAAACGAGCGCTCGGGCCTTCTGATGAAGGTTCCTTGCTTGAAGATTTGTTACATCATTACATCAGGTTTGTGCATTGCCCACGTGATTGCCAATGAGAACCATCGGTTTATGTATATAACAAGCCTGGCACCCCGTATGGCTGTTGTTTTTCGGTCAAACTCCCGTATTTGGCCGTATTTGCCCGTATGGCCATGATTTTTCGGTCATTTGCGTAAATGACCCGTATGAAACCCACATGTTCGACATGTGGTTGAAAAAAAGCCGTAAAACACTGTATGGCCATTTTTTTCGGTCAAAGGCGTATGAAAAAAAAAGGCCATATGGGGTCCCAGGAGGGTTTCGCCAAAAGTGGAGGATACCCTAATTATGCAATTCCTGGGATGGAACTGGCCATAGTTGGGGCGCATTCTGGATGTAGCTCTCGGGAAGTCCCTCAACTCTTTGGATCGCGGGTTTTTGACGTGCTGGGCAAACGCTCCAGGAACCCCGAATCCTCCACCCTGAAAGTGTTGGGAGGACCTTGGATAATCAATGATTATCCCGAAGTTGTTCTTAAAAGCTGATTGCCCTTTCTCCAGTGGTCTTCCTTTTCAGGGTGCCTTTTCGGATACCTCCAAAAAGCCGCCTGATTTACAGGCGTACCGCGTACCTCTAAGTCAGCTGATGAAGGTGATGTTTAAACTGGCCCAGCGCGACCTCGTTCGGATTCCATGTCTTTCAGCTTGAAAGGCCCGGCGGTGCTATGCCTACGACTGAACGCGGCGCCGGCGAAGTTATTTTTCCACGATAGTGGGAAGCGTGCGGATCCAGTGAGACAAGCCAGCACGCTCCTTGGGAACTCATGCTTGCCTGTGAAACTCCACAACTCACATGGCCCATGAGTTCATGCAAAGCCGTTGCTATGACCAGGAACGCCTTCTGGTAGAGGGAACTCTCTCGAGGGAACTCCTCTCTCTCTCTCTCTGTCCAAATTTCCTGCCGTTGAGCATGGCGCCGCCTTCCCCGCCCCAGTTGAATACTCTGTCATATTCGCCTGGAATCTGTGACTTGTGCTCTGGGGTTGGTACAGCCCCATCCCAACGTGAACCAGATGTTCGGGGTCTCGAACCGTCTCAGCCGACAGTTCCCGCCAGGCCGATGAAACGTTCGGCAATGGCTGCGACGAGCTTAGCGCAGAACCACTGTGGCTCTCGATCATTCAATGCAAATCGATAAGATTCGATAAGCCTGTAACTCAATCAGTCTTGATTGTGACCATGAGTTGCCGTTTTGAGCGTTTTTTAAATGGGGTCCTGTTTTGACGCACGGACATATTGTGCTTTGTGTGCTGTTGTTTCGGACCCAAAGGCTCGCAAGCCTGACTGTGGGGCTAAACAATGACTCGCACAATATGATTTGTCTGCACCCTTCTTGACCTGGGGAAGCATTTGCATGAACACGTAAGCCTTCGCCTGAACATGCACATGAACCCTGACAAAGGCTCAAGGAAAGTTCCCTAAAAACAGGAGCAGTTTTGAGTCGAGGGTTCTTGCTGGTGTTTAGGCCTATTCATACCCGCCGAGAAGAATCTTGTAGGGCTTCCTCTACCTCGCCTCGCGGGAGTAAATGAAGTACTGCCTCAGCTAACGTAGCAGAATAAACTGCATGCACGTTTTCTGGCCATGGCTGGATGATGTCAAAGAGAAGATGCTCCCATACTAGGTCTTGCAGCTTAGGTCTCGCTTGCTCCTTCCAAAGGGAATTCGGTGATGCCAATGCTTGGTGAAGTCGCTTGCAGATTGCAGCGTTGCTCAAGAAGTGCGTTGCCAGGTCGTTCTAGAAGGGCTTGTGGCACGTTTGTTATATGGCTGTGGGTGAAAAATAGGTACCCAAAATGGAACGCTGGTAAGTCGCAACATGGACCAAAACCTGTGGCCCCCTGGTGATTTCTTTTGACCCACACCCATATATACTGTCTTTTGTTTGTCTCCAGCTTTGCCGCTTGCAGCCCAAGTTGATTGCCAAGGTTTTCCAAGAAACGCCTTTGCCGTCCGTGTCGGTCTCAGACCTGGTGCTGATGGTTTTTTGGCGGCACCGGACAACTTTTGCATGATAATGCGCAAGTTTCTGGATCGACAGGGTCAAAGCTTCCGGAAGAGGGGGGCAACCGAGAAACTGCCATGCAGTCTGGCCAAAGTTTTGGGGTAAATCTGAAGCCCAGAATCCCACATGAAGGGATTTGACCCAGCATACCTGTTACATGCGTCCATTCCTCGCCGTTTGCGGCCCTTTGGCTCAAGTGCGCAGCACCCGTCTTGCTCATGGCAGGCTGTGGCCGCGTCGTGTTTCCCTCCTGTTGTTTGTTTTGTTTTGTATCCTTTCTAAATCAGGCTCAAGGAAGCCACAACTCAACCCCTTGTGGGGTCTTACTTTAGGAAACAACCCTTGCGAGTCATGTGAATGTGATGTGAATGTGATATTTAAATTTTGGGCCAAAAAGATCGTCCTGACACTGTACCTTCTGACGTTTCAGGGTGTGGCCGCGGCAGAGACATTCGGGTATGTGTCAAAATTCCGAGACCCCCCCGGAAAGCGAAAATGTACGGGATTCCTTTTGGTTTCCCTGTCAATTAACCTGACAAAAGGAAGCCTCAACAAAACTCAAACCGCGTTCTACTTATTTGAGTTCATCTGTTGCGCCTCATGGGGCGTGAATCTGTGCACAGAACCTCCAAACGCAGGTTGCGGCCACCTCCTTGACTTGCACCGCCCAATATGTTTTGCTTGAAATGCTCCTGTCCACTGTTTGCCTGCTAAGGGCTTCAAAACTCGGATGGCCTAAAAGCACATTTGCTGCTTTGGACTTGTTGAGAGAATTCCAACCCCAGATCGGGTACGGCTAGCTTTCGGCAAGTGGTGTCATCAGTTCGAGTGTAAAGCCTGCACAGCTGACCATGATACAGGCTCTTTTCCAAACATAGCCTAACACTTTCCCAAACTGTCTCGATGGTCTGAGGGCAGTCCACGATACAGGCTCTTTTGTTGGGGATCCCTTGTGGTTTGCAGGATAGACTGGTTTGCTTTTGCCCAGATGTTAGCTGTGCCTTTGGGCGGTTTTCACCTGCACGAGGGGCATTTCCACAACCTACAGCACTTTGGTAGATCCCATTCCTGATGATAAAGTGGTTTCAACTACCCCCCTACCCCCAAATACTGGCCATTCTCTCCTGAAACCCCTGGGGCTGGTTGGGGGAGCGGAATCATCTTGGAATCCATGCCGGGCCTTTTTGTTATTTTGCATCAGCACCTGATTGGCGCTTCTTTCGCCAGACGCAGGCGTCATTGAGGCCCTAGAGGAGGTGGCTCGGAGCGTGTGAATGGATACCTCCACTTGGACGTCGGTTTGTCTTTTAATGAAAGCTGCCACTCAATTGCTTGGATGCACCCATTGGAAGGTCCTTTTTCAATTTTTACCAGCACAATGAGGAAACTCCAGGAGCCTCTAGTCAGTCAGGTTCCACGTTAGACGTTAGAGGGGCATCTTCACTAAGGCGTAGTTTTTTGTTTTTTTTTTCCTCTTTGGTTTGGTGCTCAGGCAAGGAGTCAACCCCTCCATATGGCACCTTTTGTGTGTGTGTGTGTGTGTTTGGGTTTCAAGTGCTGGCGAAACGTCAATTGGGCAAGTGATAGGGCTGGATGTAGAAAGTCGCCAATTGAGGATTTGGGTGTTTGAGGCTGCAAGAACTTCGGAATCACTTCTTGTGGATTGCATTTGTGGCTTGGTCAATACCTTTCGGGTCCCAAGGCAAACGAACCATGCAGCAGGTGATGAACCTGTTTTGAATCACCCACGGTGTTGGTTCAGCCCTGAAGCCTAAGCGATGCCTGTTTGAAGACACGTCTCAATTAGGAGGGCTTTCCCGGAAGTTCAAGGTTAGCCACAAATGCACTTGTCGAATAGTCCATCGTCTCCTTGTGGAAGTTTGTATGTTTTTTGTTTCCCTTTTCTGTCAGGCATGATGATTTCTTGTGGAAGGTCTCAAGAGCTAGCCATAAGCAACTTCAAAGTGTCAGCTCTTGGCCAAGGCTTGCTGCTGTGTCGCAGCTCCTGGCAGCGAGCGGAGGTATTCAACGTATTCCAGGGGAGCCTTGGGCAGTAGCATCCATGCAATCCAAAAAAGAAAGTAGCTACAAGAATAAGACAGGTGTGCACTTGTCCATGGCTGTTTGGGGGAACACTTAACGTAGTCAGAATCGTTGCGGAAAGCGTACTTCATGTTAGATGTTGTTGCCTGATTGCCACCAAAGTCAACAACATATTATGTTTCCTGTCTGCGGATGTCGAATTTGGTTTGCTGCTGCCAGCCGATGGTAGAATTGCTGGCAAGAGGTCTAACCTGTTTGGGGCTGAAATCCCCCTAGGCGGGCGCAACCTGAAAATTACTTGGGGTGCAAAACAGCTGCTTCAGCATTCTGACAACAACCAAACATGGGGAGTTGGGGTGTCTCTTTGTGTAGGGCACCCCGCAAAATGATGGTTTTCCTTTGGGTTTCCCACTGGTGGAGTTTCAATCTCTTCAGACCCCTTCACCCAGCCCAGGTCCAGGCCCGGGAGCTCATGAGGCGTCCGAGCGATACGAAGTCCATGGCAGTGGGCCAAACGCCCTCCACCGCCTCTGCGTGCCCTGCGTGTGCTGTCTGAGCTTCGTGGTGCTTGGGCTTCTGAGCCTTCACCGAGAAATCGGGATACCGGGGGCGCTGAACGGGGGGACCTATGATTGGCGATTGAACTTCACACCGGACCTGGTGTGGAAAAAAAAAGTAGAGTGGGGCATTTCAAGTTCGAAGTTTGGAATTTGCGTTTTTGTTGAGATGTGTTTTTTGTTTGAGACGTTGGCTTGGAAGAGCAATTCGAACTTGGTCTCATACCCTGGGGTTGAACGAGGCCTTGCAGTTCCAGCTGCTTTTTGCCAGGGAGCAGCCGAGGATTCTCTATCTGTCTCAGCCCCTGGGCGGAAGCGTTGGCCGCAGCGATGTGAGCGTGTGCGCTGACGTGCTGAGCACCAGGAGCAGGGTTGGCGGCAAGTTCACGCGTTTTCTTGCCAGGAACACAACTCGATGTTGAATTCATGTCATATAACGCAACAAGTTCAAATAAATCCAGTGGTTTGAACCCGTTCCCAGTTGTGCAGTGGCCTCCTTTTCCCGTGTTTTGGCCGGGGGTCGCCCAGTTAAAGCGACCAGGACTCAGAACCTGGGGCCCTACTGCTGCTCCCAAGGATTCACCCAGTTCTGCAGCATCCAGGAGGCACGGGTGTCTCTTTGAGTATCCTTTTTACCCGTTTCACTTCGGTTTTAAGGAACGCCCAAACGAAAGCCGCCAGTTTTGGGTGCCCCCGTATTTTTAGCACCTGCCCAAAAGTCTGGGGATTTGGGGAGTAGGCCAAACATATGCCAGCGTGAAACTGGCTTGCTCCAAAACCTGGCACAAGGGTACAATAGGGTACACATTTGGCCCCTTGCAAGGGGAAACCAAAGGAAACCAAATCGACTTGTCACCCTTCATCCAGAGGCCCTGCAAACCTTGTGTCAGTGCCCGTGTGCTGACTCGGTTAGAGATAGAAAGTTTGTTTGTCCAGGAAAAGGAACACAGGGACACATAGACCCGGGCCCTAAGGGTCCTGTGTCTTTGGAGGACCCAGACTTTCCTCCTTACAAATCCCTGAATTGCTTTGAGGTCAGCCCCGCAATCCGCCCAACTCTGTGCATTTCATGTGCAATCTCACCCGAAAGAGCACCATTCTGCGCCAGACCGTTCTGATCCCGCACAAAAAGTCAACTTGCCGGTTGAAGGCAAACATGATGCAAAACCAATAAGACAAACAGTTGAAAAGAAGCCTTTGGTCTGGCAATGCGTTGCATCTGATGACCATTCCCTTCCAGGTGCAACCCTATTCAGATCACCATCCAAAGCGCAACGCTGAACCAATTAGCATACTTGGCCAAGGCAACAACTCAAGGTGGGAGTCTGACCAGCATCAGCATCACCAGCAATGCCAGCATCACTAGCACCAATTGGGCCAACATCGCGAGCATCACCAGCATCACGAGCATGACCAGCGTTATCCTAAGCAACAAGTGCCTTGAGCAGCCCCATCCGGGGCACTACCATCATCCGCCACGACCAGCAGCACCAGACACCCACATTTTTGCGCCTCATGCGACCGGCTAAATTGAAAGCTGGGACTCGCTCCCCCTGAGTTGCTGGACTCAATACTTTTGGGGAAGACACATTTAGTGACAAACGGCCGTGTTTGGCCGGTCCACTCCGCAAATGAGGCCATCACATTTCATGGTTGGAGCACTCTTGAAAAAATGATTGGTCGGCACAAATGCCAATGATGTTTTATGCCCGCCCGAGTCACCCCGCTACCTGCAAAGTGCAGAGTTCTCGTGGAGGAGGATGTGCACGCTTTTGGGCTGGAATCCTTGAAAGGCAAGCCTCAAAGAAGCCTGTTTGCACTTTTGCGGACTTTGGCCATTGGTCCTTTTGGAGAGGTCCCGTGCAAGTCAGAGTATTCAGAGTCATGTCTGTTGCTGCACTTGTCGTGCTTGGTTTGGCTGAAAGGTTGCGAAGGTTCGCCTTTTTGGTGGACACAGCTGCATCCAGCAACGCGGCAGGCACAGCCCCAGGAGATCACGAGGGTGATCGACCAGTACATTCCGAGCGAGAAGGTCGTTTACGATCACAAGGTGGTGCCGGTGCCTCTTCCCTCCCCGCCTGCCAAGGAGGTGATACACAAGGCCGAAGACATCCGAAGACCTAAACTTCCCCAGAATTGGCTCCCCTTTTTTGCGCTTTTTTGGGTCCCTTTGTTTTCCACTTACCAGGCAAAAAAGATATTTTGTTTGCTGGGGTCCTAATTCCAGCCTAGTAAAGTGGGCTTTGTTTTCCCGTTGGTTTTCCTGCAACCCCACCCGAAAAAGGGTACCCTCAACAACACTCTCCGATGTCAAGTTCAAATGTGAGCAACCTGTTGATTTCAACCGGTCGAAGGCGTGTTTGGATTTAGTGGCAGGGATCACCTTGTCCCTTTCTCCAGTTGTAATTTGGTGGCCACATGTTGCTTGTGCTGAGTCCAGTGAGGTCTATGTGACATCCCATGCCTACGACTGCGAGAAAGGCTACAGTGACTTCAAGCACCAGTGGTCCCAGACTCACCAGCGCTATTGCTGCTTGGTGCTTTCTTTGGAGTTGCAAGCCTCCATGGGATGCAAAGGCCGAATCTCTAGCTGATGTTTACCCCAAGCCGGTATATTGCGCAGGCGTCAAGACTCCTGGCTCATGGATTTCAATAACGTGTCATGTCGCTTGGTTTTCTGTGAAGCTTGCCATGTTTCACCGATTGTCCAAGCGAAAAAACGCTTAGCCGATTCATTTGCGGCGATAAAGCACGTTTGCGCCTTTATTTGTTAACTCAAGGCTGGGCTTAGAGTTGCTTTCCCGAATCCATTGCGAAGGGTTCTTCAGGAAGAATCTGGCACCGACTGTGCAAGTCAAGTTGCAGCGGGAAGTTGCGCCAGTAAGTGACATAGTGCTGGGACCAAGCCCTGGAACCCTGTTTCCGCAACATTGCCCTGAGATTGTTTTCAGTGTCTCTCCTGAGTTTGTTCCTTCCCTTTTTTTTCTCATTTTGTTTGCATCGCTGCAGGTGTCACCTGGCCAAATGTTCGCAAGTATATTTAAAACGTTATTTCATTCATCACATTTGTTGTGCCCTCCTCTTCTCAAGGCATCTTTAGTATCTTGATGGCATTTGCCTCGGGTTTGGTTGTTGGGGTTGGTTGCCGGGGACTTCACCAAAAAAATGATGAGCCGGAAAGATTAGGGGGTTTTGTGGCTTTCAATTGGTCCCTTGGCCAGGGTGGATGGTGTTGGAACTCTGGCAAATAGTAGTTTACTTTTCGGAGCCATGCCACCTAAAACATGAACTGGATGATAAAATTTGATCACAATCACGCGTTTGATCAAAGTTGGCCAAATTTGATCAAAGTTGTCCGAATTTGATCGATATGTTCAAACACCTTTTTTTGGGGGTGGCATGTGGGGGGGGGGGGGGATTGAGAGCCCCGAACAACATGGAACACTAAATATGCTTCCCTATACATGTTTTAGTTCTAGGACAAAACATGAATCATTTTGATTGAAATCAAAGCTCCTTGGGAAAAGGGGGTCATCCATGATATTTGTGTTGGCAAAATATGGTGACCTACTAGAAAAACATGTTACTGTTGTTATTTGACACGGCTGCATGTTTTGAGGCCAGTTCTTAAACTTCCCGCTGGGGTCGAGGGTCAGTTGGGGTCGAGGCTGCTACTTGCGGGACATCGCTTGTGTGGCGAAGCTGGAGGTTCGGACCCACTTCCATACCCTGACCCGCAGCTTGGCGCGCGTGAAATCCGAGCCATTCTGAGCTGACCACGCCAGAACAGCAATGGAAGGGCTCAAACACTTAGACTGGTGTTGTGGGGCACTTATCAACCGAAATGAAGTCGTCAGGCTCAACACATGTGTGTAATTGCTTTGCCGCCAACACCTTTAAAATTGGTAGTGTCTTATTTTTGTGAGCTGAGAAGGTCGGGGCCTGTGGAACTCAGAAGTTGCGCCCAAAGGTGCGCTAGTCTAGATATGGTGTGGCTTGCGTCTATATATGCAAAAACATGTGCACGTGTGTGTGAGTGTGTGGTGTGGTGTGATGTGATGTGATGTGGTCTGGTGTGGTGTGGGTGTGGGTGTTTGTGTCTGTGTCTCTGTCTCTGTCTCTGTCTCTGTCTTTGTCTCTGTCTCTGTCTCTGTGTGCGTCTCTGTGTGTGTGTGTCTCTGTGTGTGTGTGTGTGTGTCTGTGTCTGTGTCTGTGTGGGTGTGCTGCTTTGCACTAGCTAGAGGAAACTTGGCTGAGGTGTGCAACGCCGTTTCTTGGGCCGGTGGCGCCCTAAGGAACAAGACAAGTTCCTGAACCCTTCCAAGTGCCTGTCCCGGCACCGCCCCCACGTGTGGTGAACAAAGTGGCGCCTTGGCAATACGCGGAGGCCTTCCTTCCAGCGACATGAGCTTGAATAGAAACTCCCCTGGTACAGGTTTTCTAGTGATCGCGCATCCTCATTCGCGTTGATGGCCATTCAGGTCTTGCGCTTGGTTTGCATGAGAGGTCTGTTGAAGGAAGGCCCTGCATTGGGATGGTTTCAGAACTACAACAGAACCTGGCATTTGGGGAGGGTCCCCGAGTCCTGACACCATACCAAATGGAATCTGCAAAATGAGAAATAGTCTCAAGGCATCAGACAAGTAGGAAGCTGGCAGTCAAGCGATGCACACATGTGAGATGTTTCCAAACGTCGACCTGGAAAGTGCCCTGCAGTAAAAGATGAGCCCTCGAGGAACCATCACTCAATGTGGGCCACTTCGAAACGCTGCAAACGAAACGTGGGCCACCATTCGTTGTTTGTTTGTTTGTTTGTTTGTTTGTTTGTTTTTTTTGGGGGGGAACGTCCAGTGTCTAGGGCGCTTCCTATTTCCCCGCGGTTGTCCAACGCCGATCCTTCACTAGCCGCGGTTGCCAACGCCAATCCTTCACTAGGGGACTGAAAGGGGGGACAAAACCCGCTCTTGGAGGATGGCAGTTGTGACCGATTTCGTGCATCACAGCAAGGAGCTTGAAACTTGAAAGGAACTGGGAGCAAATGGCCTTCGACGGCGTCACTGTGCAACTGGAGTATGCCACTAGAGTACTGGGTGTCCTGCACTAGTTGGACACCTGTTGGCTTCAAGACTTCATTTCTGTCATTTTGAGCCAGTCCGGCCCTGTTTCGCGCCCAGCTCCTGACATTGGTGTATGATCATGGGCAACATCGAAAACAACATCGACATTTGGCGAATGAGCCGTTTGAAGCAAGCTGGAGAAATCAAGGACGATATTAAGAACCCTGTATTCGTCGGCTGTCTCAAGGAAGCCGCTCTTGGGAACCCTAAGGTTTGGCCTCTGGTCAGAGCCCAAGCCATTGATTTGAACAGGCTCGGCCGCGTTTTGCTCTGCTCAGGTGACCATTCCAGTGCCAGATCCACCGGCGATCGTGGAAAAGCAAAAGCTGGGGAAGCCGCATGTGGTCACGCAGTATGTGAAGCTCAACTTGTCACGAAAGCACTCCTGGAGTGCTTGGCAATCCTGGGGTGCGGGGGTGGGCCGAAGTAGCTCCAAAATTGCCGTGTTGGTTGCCAAAAATCACAATGCTAATGCGGGATTTGGGAGTCCTCAACAGGCCTGTTTTGGGAGCGGGCCCGTCTTGCTTTGGTTCCCACATCGCCCAAACAATCTGTGTTTTCGTGGTGGTGGTGATTGTTTCAGGCGATGTCCCACTTTTGTCCAGATAAGCAACGCCCAGTTGCAAAGGGTGCACCGCTCGCACCAAAACTAGAAGTTGGAGCTATCGTGTTCGGTCCATTTCTCGTCCTGTTGATGCTAATCACGAGCTATGGCCACTTGTAGACCAAATTTGGTGTCTTGACACCAGCTTTCTGCTGCTTGAGTTCGCCTGAGCAGCTTTGCTTGGTTTTGAAGGCCCAGCGATCCCAGGAAGGATCCGCATTTCGTGCCGCGACCGGTGCCCAGCGACCCCTTGTACCACACCAAGTACGTGCCGGTGCCAGTGCAGGGCCCTACACGGACAGTCGAAGTGCGGGAGCAACTGCCACCGGAAGCCTCGGCCGAGCTGTTGCCATATCGTTTTTTTTTTTTTGGTTTAGGGGGGGTTGAAAGGGACTATCAACACCACAATTTTCATGTTGACGCATATGTCTGGGTGAATTATAGCGACCTCACTCGACCTCACGCCAAATGGTGGTTTATGTGGGGAATATCCCCTCAACCACCTTATTTCAGGTTGGTGAGATCTTATGATTCACCTAGATATGTCCTGCCTTGGGTCAGTCTTTTGCTTCCAACATGGAACCGGAGGTACCCAGTCCGTCGGGTTCCGTGGCTGGCAGGCTACTTCAGTTTGATGGTGTTGGTGTCAGTTTGGCTCCGCTCGTTTGCCAGGGCCACCTATTTCTTCCAAGGGGCACCTCGGGTTGTAACTAAAGTTTTTTATTTGGCAGCTCGATCCAAAGTAAGCTAGCAACACCAACATGGTCTTCAACAATTGCAAGTCACCACTAGTGGTGGCGGGGCGATCCAAGTTGACAGCTCGAAATTCCTTCCTTAGAGGTCGTCACGTCCGAAACATGTTTGTTTTGCCGTTGCTGAGCAAGGAAACGGTGGTCCGCAACGCGAACATCTACAAGACGCGACACGTGAAGGCCAGATGGTTTGCGGGGCCGAGCAAAATGGCTTTCAGCGCACACGTTTCTTTCAGCTGGGAGGATCCACGTTGAAACTGATGCAATGGGAACCGGGTTCTCTTGGACGTTATTCGCCGGTGGATCCTTCCCAGCAACTTCATGTTTGAGGATGTCTGGGGTTTCAGGATATCTAGGGTTGTCTCCCAACGGGAACCGCAGCATTGGCGGGTTCAGTTTGGCCTGTGCAGTAAAGCCGCAAGCGCCAGGTGTTGCGCACTTACGACTGTGATGCCGGCTTCAGCAACTGGATGTATGGCTGGTCATCAGCCAAGATGCTTGGATGTGAATGGTGAGAAGGAAGATTCCCTCCCATAGAAAACCAAGGCAAGTTTTCTTTTGAATGCAGCCCCTGTTTGAGTAGCTCATCATGCCGTCGCTTACACATGTTCAGAGGTGCGGCTGGCCCATCCTTGGCATCATTGCAAGATTGCTGATTTCCCATAGCCAACGTGCCACCGGGGTCCAACAATTTGGCTGACCTGTCGGCGGGCTCCTGGTTGGCTTGGTTGGCATCCATCTCAGATGGCTTCAGGCCTCAAGTTGCAATTGGCAACTGGAAGTGAGTTTTCATTGTGGCCAGGATGCTTGGGGGGATATTTCATGCTTTGGCCATGACTCCCATTGGCGGGCACTGTCACACGGGACTTGCGGGCGCCAGACATAAGACAAGATTCTGTTTCAAGGCACCTTCTGAGCTTCAAAGCAAGTGGGAGGACGAATGGCATTTGACATTTCATCAGGCGCCTCCTCTTGAGCAGTAGAATGTGTGGGTGCGCGACAGCGGATCTTGCTCGCCGGCCAAGCTGTGGAATTTGCTGATGCTCTGGGTGATATTTTGATACCCTAATTGTGAGCAGCTTTGGAAGAATCGCTGTAATATAATAGTCGGGGTTCTGGTA